CCTGTACAACTAAAAAAAGTGGGGACCGAAAATATATTGATTGGTGGTTAGTAAAGGTCTAACCACATTACACTTCAAAGTATCCAGTATGTCTTTTGAAAAAGGAGCGAATCTCAACACTACGCTTCTCCGCTATTTAATCACTCGCCACGTATAGACCTGCGGCGAGTGATTAGATAGTCGGTGGGCGTACCCCGCCAACCGCGCCAAGAGTGAGCCATGCTAGATCGCCGAGGTCAAATCTTTCGCTGCCAATTGCGCGTCGGTCAGCACCCTCAGGAGGTCCGCCTGTCTCCCAACTATGCAATTTTCCCCTTCTTTGACCTTCGTTCTTATCGTGAATTCCTCCTTTAAACTGGTTGGGAATGTGGTACTGTCGTTCTGCTTTTTCAAGAAATATCTCCTCATCAGTGAAAAAGATCGGCAAGATCGGCAATACAAGACAACTCGTGACATCTCCGCCCAGCGCCGCTTTCTGTTCACTTTAGCATATGAGAGCTCGGCTTTTCCACGCTTACTTCCGTTCGTCACGGGATGCCTCTGGCGATTACTTGCCAACAAGTGCGCCTGGGAGAGAAGCGGGAGGAAAATGACGGATTGAATGTGTTACAGTCCTTCGCAGCCTGGCGAATACTTTCTCAGTTCTTGGTAACAACATTAACTTCTCTTCCTTATCCAGAGCAATCGTTTCTAGTACCTAGGTCGTTGACTTTGTAATGATGGTTCTTGCAGGCTTTTGGGAATCCTAATTCGTTTTACACTGTAACATAACCAGACACCTTGACAGAATGGTCGACTTACTGTTTCATAGGAGCTAGAAACCTGATCAATCCATGAATAATAACTTCAGCGTAGTAAAATTAAGGAATGATCATCAATCTTTGATCCTAAAACTGTATGCCCTACCGCTCTTGTTACCGTAATTTGTGGGCACCCTCCATTTCTCACATTTGTCCATGATGGCGATAGTACATGGAGGCGGTGGAGACGGGGATGCCTGTTCCATGTCGCTGTATCCTGGGCCATTGTCATATTTTGCGACCGTTTTGCGTTTTTTTTTTCGACTGTGGATAGATAGGTGTTGACCAGGCGATTGCAAGTTCCTATGATCGAAGCAAACTTCTTCACGAGGAACTGAAAAATCGCAAAATGGCAAACTATGACTGGCCATAACTGA